AATATGTGGTAAATTTGGTACCACCAAATCTAATCCATACCAACTGTTGAACCCCCGGATCTCCCCGCTCCATCTGTTCGGAAAGTTCTGACTCGAAATAATCTGTCATGCTGTGAGTACATCCAACAGGGCACCCGTTGCTCGTCTTCTCATTTTTTCTCTTCGCGGGTTTGGCTGGCGCTTCCGTCGACGGAAGAAAATTTCGCTTTTCAAGCCTCCGTTCCTTTCAATGTTCTCCTTCCTGCGGTACATCTTCCGTTTCGAGGAAAGGGGCTTATTATTTTCACCTTGTCTGATATGTGGAGACAACTTGCGCGTACAAGGAAGAGAAATATTTCATTTGTCTAGGGGTCTCAAAAACTCTTTCGTGCAAGGAAAAAAGACAGGATGTATGCTGTGTTGGTTAGTCTGAGTAGTCTAGGGTGATACACGCATACTCTGAAGATTACAGAAAAGACCTCACAGCAGTGAGTAAAGGAACACGGCATGTATGCATGTGCATCCCCCGATGCCGTCTTGGTGGTGGGTGGTCACAAGAACAAGATGTTGTGGCGAGGGAGTACTCGCTGCAAATAAATGCGAAATCTGGACTGTTGCTCGTGGCCATGGATTTGCTTTCGGGCTCGGGTCCGTACAGGAAGACGGGCCGGGGTAGCCGAGTGGCGAAGGACGGCTGCCAAAAAAAAAAAAATCTTCCAGGGAAAGTCTTATAGAATGTACCAGGTAGCGCGTAAACCTCAAGAACACAACCGTTAAGGAAAACCTAACAAAAATATTATAACCAAGGACCAACGTGTGCAGGCACCGCTTGCTGTCTTGTAAGGTATTCCCGACTATTGCTGGCCTCGGCACCCAACGTACACGAAAACACATGTAAGTAGCGCGGCAAACTCAGTGATTCACAGAACACCGAACGTAGCGCATGCAATATAATTATCTCACTTCTCAGTCAGACCGAGGTCTAGACTACCTCAGAGCTAATCCCCCCGCTCCTGCATCCACATACTTCTTTCTGCGATCAACTCCAGAAAGCTCTCAGGTGGGACGACCGTCGACGCCAAACGCCGAGCAAGAAAAAAAAAAGTCACAGTAACGTGACGCTGCGCGAGTATCGTACCTCAACAAAAGTCAAACCTGTTACACCCTGCACCGGGCCGCTAGGATACCCGCCCCCCCCCCCCCCCCCCCTGTGTTCACGAATCACGCCTGAGCCAGAGTGGGGCGCACAAAAGCGGGTTTATGCTTCTGTCAAAAGTAACGCATTACATTGCCCGGAGAAACAAAATACTCTACAAAATAACCGCACCCAGCCAGGTGAAAGAAGGCAGCCAAAAGGAAACCGTTGGCCTAAAACACAAGAGATGCGAAAAAGAAGGACTGCCACAGGCTAGCTACTAAGAGTAGCCTACATATGGTAGGGACATAAAAAAGAGCGGTGCGATAAAAAGGACGAACGCAACACACGAACCAAAGAAAGGTACAAATACAGAAGGGGACAAGACAGAGAGATGAGATGAAATAAAACTACAGGGTTGCGAAACCACGATCGCTATACAATGCAGATGACCCTGGGTGCTCTCCCTCAAGATCACTACATTTTCCACGCATCAGCCCCCATCCGCGTATTTAAATTTCCGGCCCAACCCGGAGTGTACATGTTCTGACCACCTCCCGGCATAAAAAAATACCATAAAATACAAACCACGTAGAGAGGGGCTCTCATCCGCCGGTAAAACCCTCAGACTACGCTGGACAGGAAAGAGCAGTTCGACACAATAATATAATGGAAAGATAACACGCGTTAACTCGGGCGGCCTTCCCCCCAAACAAAACGCGATGGCCCAACTGGGCTCTGTGCGCGAAGAGGCACGCACCCGCGCGACGACTAAAAAACTGACATCGAACTGAATCCCTTCCCCCCGTGTGCACAACATACCACGCGCAGACGCTGCATATTTCCTTCAAGTACATAGCAAGCAAAATGTGCGCCACTGCTGGTGCCACACCAGTCGGAGTCTTCCTAAGCTTTGACGAATGCCGTCAAAACAAATCACGCTCCGTTTTCACGCCCGCGGCAAAAGGCAACGACGACCGACGACCCCCTCCCCCGCCCCCCCCCGCTGCCTATTCGACCGGCACGTGCCGGTCGGATCGGATACTCATCACCTGGCGGCCCCAGCCCGGGGGGTTTCATCAAGAAAGGGTGCCAGGCATCGTCCGCCGGACCTGCTAGTGGCAGATAGGGCACGTGGAGACGACGGGGCATCGGTCGCACATTAACAGGTGCCCGCAAGGCAGCAGCGCCCGGCTGCGGCGGCGGGATGAGCAGATGACGCACTTGGCGAGGCTCTCGGCCTGCTCTCGCCTGATCCTCTCCTCCTGGAGCGCGGTCCTCGCGGCCGTCTCGGCCTGCCGGCGGTCGGCCCTCTCCTCCGCGAGGGCGCGCTCCGCGCGCTTGCGGTCCTCGACGGCGTCCATGAAGTCGGCTTTCTCCATCTTGAGCGCGCGCAGCGCCATGCTGAAGGTTTCCCCCAGATATCCCCGCCCGACGACCTGCTGCTGGTTCTGGCGCCTTCCCCTTGCCTCCCTCGAAGAAGAAGCGGCCTGACTGGAAAACCGGGCCTCGAGCCCGGCGCCCTCGCGCCTGGTCCTCTCCGCCCGCAGCGCGCTCTCCGCCGTCGCCGCGGCGGCGCTCAGTGCCAGCTCCCGCTGGTGGTTCCTGTCGCGCACGCCCCGGGCCGCGCTCAGCAGCTGCATGGGCGAGGCCTGGAAAGGGGAGACGCCGCTGCTGCCGCCGCTGCTGCAGAGCAGCATGTCCACGCAGGCACGAAGGGTGTCGTTCTCTCCCCGCAGGGCCCGATTTCGCCGCTGGGTCTCCTCGCGGATCATCCCCGCCCCGGCGACTACGTCCTGCGCGCCCGAGATCATGTCGTGCGCGCGCCTGCTCATGAGCTCCTGGAAGATGTCGCCGTGAGACCTGTGGGCGTGGACCGGGAGTGAGTCCGGCCGCACCGCGGCCGCCCGCGCTGGTGCTGCTGCCGCTGGTGCTGCTGTAGGAGTAGAGCTCCTCGACCGAGCCGTACTCGTCCAGCCTCCGCCTGCGCTCTGGGGGCGGCAGGTTCCCGTCCGGGTGGCTGAAGCGGCCCGACGTCGGCATCATCCTCTTGGTTTGTGCCTTGTGAAGCGCACAGAAAAAAGAAACGACGCGACGAAACGGCTGGCGTAAGAAAAGAACAACGTCGGATACGACAGTAGTAGTAGAAGCGTCGAGGTTTGATGTATGCGTTGAGGTGGAAAGCTCCAAAACAAACGGACATTTTACACGCGCGTGCTTAACCGGGATCGAACCCGGTCTGCTCTGTTGCTGATATACGGAATGGGATGAGGGGTTCCCATGGTAAAGTTTCGAGGCACATATATAAAAAAAAAGAGGATATGGATGGGCACCTCCAGTCAGTGTAAAACGGAGAATTCTATGCGTACGTCTAGTCAGCGCGAATCAATGCGCAGAAAGACGCGCGGTTTGCATTCGTGAGGACGTGAGTGAGCACTTCCAGCGCAAAACTGAGAATTCAACGGCTACATAATCAGGGCGCACGTTTGTGCATAGTTGACGACCGTGGGAACACAAATACTGCAATCCGTTTGAGGGTCGGAATGAAAAGCAACTGCGCGGAGAGAGAGCGCGTCGAGAAGTTGTGGCGCCAGCTAGATGAAGCATATGGCCGCTAAAAAAAAGCAGCTAGTGAGAGAGGAGCAACGGGCAACAGGTACGGGCTTTCTGTCGTGTTGCTGATGCCGTTGCTGCTGCTGCTGTGCACATGGCAGGTGCAATGGGGCCCAGACGGTAGAACAGAAAAAAGAGTCTCAAAAACTCCAGGGGAGACTTTTCGCCTAAGACTCAGAAACGCAACCGTGTAAGGGTTTCACGCTTGTCATCGCTTGGCCTCCGTGTCGGGCAGCAAGCTGTCTTAACACCGAGGCGAACTTGACTCGGCGAATGATCAGGTGACAGCATGGACGTGTTCGGGCAAGCGACACGGCTTTACGTCTGGAAGACGAAAAAGAAACTCAAATACATGAATAGGCACCACTGCCGCTGTATGGTTGGGTGTGTTTAGTTTGGGATAAATTTCGATTTCGGGGACGCAATATGCATGGCGTGTAGAGGCGAGAGGAGTTGCCTAGACTATCTGTCGGTGACTTATATGCTCATTGACTTGCGGATCCGATTCTTATCTTCGAATACCTCTTTCGGGATAAGTTATTCTGTGACGACGGTAATCGACCCCCAAGTGTAAGTAAGACTGGTGCGGACAGAAGAAGGTACTGGACAGAGAGAACCAAACGGTTTTCATGTGAAGCCAACAACAACAACAGCAACAACAGCTGTAGTATGCCCTTCCGTTACAGATAGGGCCCGCAATTACTGCTAAGAAGAAAGGCTCAAACGATTTCGGAAAACAAGAAAAAAGAACCAAGAAACGAAGCTCAATCTCGGCCACAACACAAGAAACGTCCCGATAAGAAACGTGACCGTGCGATACCCCAAAACAAATAAACAAAGGGTACAAGCTGGGGCAGTGTGTCCATTAAGAAATGTCTCCCACTGCTGCTGCTGCTGCTGCCATGCTGCCACCCCCTACCTACATAGCTCATGTCATGTAACTTTTGGTAGGGGAGAGGGATTTTCGCGGTGCTGGACTGCCACAACCCACATGTATGTATGTTCACCACACCGAGCTGTCGTGTTACTGCTGTATGAGGGCTTGGTGCGTTGTTTTCTTCGCCAGAACAAGAAAATTCGACAAAAAGAGAATCAGCAGGATGCGACAACCCAGAGGAAAATGAAATCCGTTACAAGTATAAGAAATTGGCCGACTTCGGCTGGTCCTTCGGCCCAGAATAAGAAATCGAGGCTCGACCCGATTTTGATCTTTCTTATCTCCGGGCCCTATCTTTAGGGCAAATGGGGGAGGAAACTCCACATGAGGGAAAACGCCATCTCGAAAAACAATCATTGCTGAGCCTTTCAGAAAAATTAGTCCATCACGTCCGTCCCCGCCTCCCGCTCCTCGAAGAATATGCGGGCGTGCAAATTATTTCATGTGTCCACAACCGCGGTTTGTTTGTGTATGTANCTTGTCACTCGTTAATAGTTAATCAAGGAACTTGAGTCACTCCTTTGTGCAACACGCTCTCGACAAGAGCCCGCGAGCGTGATAACATAGTACACGCGCCGACACCCCAAACACGGTTATTTGTCAGTTCCGCGCAAGGGAGTTGCCAAAAAAACACGCCCGGCGTGCCGTGATCAAGACATTGGTTGTCAGAAAAATAACGCCAAATTGAAGACAGACGACAAGTCACGTTCGAAACGATGCCTGCCCTGTCGGATGAAGGGACGCGTTGAAATGTTGATGTTGAAATGTTAACAACTACAGGTGAGTGGAAGGGATAACTGCTGGATAATGCTTCTTAGTCTATTTGTAAGACTATTCGAAGAACATTTCGCGAATAGCCCGTTTGTTGTGGAAGAAACAAGAAAAAATGGGAGAAATATGGGGGGGTGAACTCCACCAAGCTTAATCCCCCCCCCCCCCCCCCCCCCCCCCCCCCCC